AGCTTGCTTTTGCAAATCCAGGCAGCAGGGATTGTTCAAGGGTTTGGCAAACTTTCTAGTTAGACATGTGATTCTTGCTGGCTGGGTTTGTGTGACATGACAAGCTGTGGCACGTTGGGCACCCACGGGCAACATGCAGTAATGGTCCAATGGGCACCCAGTAGAATGTGACAGCTCCTGTAGGTGAATTAAGGGTGCTGTGCCAGACCCTGCTCCCCCACCCCGCAATTTTCAGATTTCAAGATTCTTCCATACTCCTGGGTTTCCATATACCATTTTTAAGCTTAGGAGGAAGCTGAAGGAGTTCTTCCATTTTTTAAAAAAAATACCCCATGCACTTGCAGCTGCACATGAATTTCAGAGAAAGGTTCAAGAACTTGAACTCCCATGTGGCTGTGGAACATCTCTCCTCCTCCCTCTCCCCTTCCCTCTCTCTCTCTGGCCTTCAGGAAGGATTTCCAAGCTCCAGAAGCTGCTTTGCTGAGTCCTGAGCTGGTGCAAGCAAGAACAAACAAGACTTCCAGAGTTTTAGAAAAACTCACTGCTTGCAGGAGGATAGAGCTTTTTCAGGGAACCTTGCAGCCCAATAGGCGTTTCTGAATGTCTCCCTGAAGAAATCCTTTCTGAAAAGAGTTCTGTCTTGATGCAAGCAAGATCAGAGTTTTTCTAAAGCTTCATTTGTTCTTGCTTGAAGCAGATCACTGCAGAACGCCTGATTCGTGGATCACTGCTTTGGCAACTGCCCTTTGCATCTATGACTCTTTGGCTGCATCTCATTCTGGGAAAATGTTTGTTTCATGTCTCTTATACGACAATGTCCCTTTGCCCAATTCCAGTAATTGCTGACAGTTGCATAAAGCCAATACTGTTTTTAAACCTACGTGTTGGCAGTTACACAGATACATTTTATACTGGAGCAGCATCAATATTCTCTAAGGTACACTCTTACATTATTTACCTGTTTCATGGAAGTTAAGCAAGGAAGAGAATGCATTCTCTGCACCTTTTGACAGCTGAAAAAACTAATATTACACAATTTTAGGTAAACACTAACCTCTCATAATACAATGCACTGAGGGCCTTACAGGCCTTTCAATATATCAGCAGGTGGCATACAGATACCAATTTCAAATGGATAGAATTTGGATATTTGGTCTACTTGCTGACTCCTATGTATAAATGCTATAAAGTTGTGTATATTTCTTACAGAGGCATGCACATGTATTTAAAAACCAGGAAAAAGAGAAAGAGGGTTTAACAATTCCAGATGTTCATGTACACCATTTTAAGGACCCCTTCACTGCTGCCATTGGAGGTGCTCTGGACACCATGGACCCTCTGGGCCCTGCAGTAAGCACCTCTGCTTTAATGTTCACTGTAAGCAGCACCTCTGGGCTAAGGATGTTCATAAGTTTTACTTACCATGACTACTAAAGACATGATTTCATGAAGGCTTCCTAAGTATCCCAAGATACCAATCAAAATAATGAAGGATCCAATCACAAGCAACACTTGAAAAATTGGAGTGACCGAGGAATCTCCTCCTGAAGATACTAATACAAAAACACTGATATTTTGAATGCATAAATTACAGAGTTGGTTCTGTGATTCTATGAAACAAGGACATTTGCTTAGTGCAGACTGATTTGCTCAAGAGATCTAATGTCTTATGTTTATACTATTTATTCTAGAGATGGCTATCCCAGAGCTGCTATCCCTGAGAAAATTAGTTTTAATTTCTATAAATTTAAAACCAATTTTCTTCTTTCTATTTAGTTCCCAGTCTTTGAATTTGTGCTAATTTCCCTACCATTTATTTCCTAGCTTTTAAATTTGTGCAATATATTGTATATATTCTCATCTTCCAAGCTTCTTTCACTAAAGAATTTATTTTACCTCCATACTCTTCCATGCACACACACTGCTGAAAATGGAAAAATCAAAATATTCAGCACAGCACTAAAATGAAGTCATAGTGAGCTGTCATATTGTACAAACCAGGCCTTGAGACTAGTCCGTTTCAGTTCCCATCTATGAGAACATGAAATATTATATTCCACAGAAGTGGAAAAGGTTTAATTATGGCTTGGTCTAGAGCAAGTGTAGTCAGATGAAAGACCTACATCTTCCCTTAGTGCAGTATTTTAAATGTTGACTGGGACTGCATTAGATATCTAGGGTTCCTCATCTGAACCTACAGAAATGCCAGCCACGTTCCAGATGAATGCACTATTGAGCTAACTTCAAGGAGAAAACCAGTTTCTTTTGGACAAAGAATGACCTTTGTCATTCACTACTAGATACTATTAAGTTAAAATGCCCTTTGCCCTCCAAACTGGAAGCTGGCTGTCAGGAGTGGGTGAAGCACAGAAACTTAGCCTAGTGATGAATTTGAATGGCATTGGGATGTTTGCAATGAAACTAAGCATTCATTTATTTTCATATTTCAGGAGGATAGAGCTTACTTTCATATTTTGGTTTATTTTCATATTCCTTAGTGCAAGCAATCCACTTTCTTTCCCCCCTTCCCCCCCCCCCTTTTAAAGTTTTGTGATGGGCTTTATAAAAGGTCAGCAAGACTTCAACTCCTGTGTTTGAGTAACAGACTTTGTAGGGCTATACTGCCATCTTGTGGAAAGCCAACATGTTAATAGTTAAATAAGGCATATTTGCAAGTTAGAGAGAATGAAAAAGAGATGGTGCAAAAGGTACTCACACAACAGAGAGAAAAACTTGTTACTATCAGTTGTAATCCAGACACCAAAAATCACAAGCATAACACCTAAGATCTAAAAGTAATAAAAACAAGTGTTTGTATTTGAACGATGCTATAGAATGTATAATTCAGTGTTTACTAGTTTGTCTTGCATGATACAGTAGTTTCTTACCAAGAAAAATCCATTGAAAATGTTTAAGAAATATTTTAGCAAGAAGAGTTTGTCCTTTTTTTTCATGTTCCTTTTTATTTAAATGAAACCTGGAAATAATAGTTTCACGTTAGATAAAGATGTGTATTAATGCAGGCACATGCTACAAAATTAAGGGGTATGCATATATACTCAGGATCAGCAGCAGTCTCTTTTAAAATAGCTGATTTCAGCAAAACATCACATTTTTCTTTCACTGGCAAAAAAAAAAAAAAGACATACAGATTGGAGCAGTATTCATTTAGTCCTCTGAAGTCTGCTTTTCTTTTTGGATTGTTGAGATTTACACTACACCATTGATTCAAAGTGCTCTGTCAGCAAAAGAGCTGTTTAATTTCACAGAATTCTTGGTGGCAAGAGATCTCTGCAGACTCATAACAGGCATAGTAGCCTTACACATGATTTCAAAAGAATTATCTCTCACCTTTAAGGACACAAATGCAGGATATTGTTCTCCACAGATACTCCACTTGTAATCTTCCTATTAATTGTGTTGATGAGGTCTTACTTCCTTGTTACTGATGTAACTATGTACACAGCTATAGAAATTTATTTTGCTGTTAGTGCCAACCTCTGTTTCTCTTCCTCTCTTCAGGGATTAAAAATAAACTAAGAATGAATGGTGTTAAGAAATTTACTTAGGGTGCAATCTGATGGTTGCTAGATGAGGTCTGGAAAACCATAACAGTACTCAGAGTCCCAGCCCCAACCTTGGAAAAGTGCTGTGAATTCCTCTGCCCTTGCTTCTGGCATGGTTCTGTCAACACCAGCTGAGGGACGGGGAAATCTTCTGGTGGATAGAAGAGAGGCCATGAAGCTCTGCATTGGCTAGGGAATGCTTGGAGTTCTAGGGCTTTTTTTATTTCTAAATTGGCATTGGTTCATGGCTCAAATGTATGATCCTGTGTACAACTCCCTGCAAAGAACTGTGGACACTGAAAGAACTGTAGAATTCATAAAGGCTAGGCCCTTTTGAACACAGAGCAGAGTACACTTGCTTAACATTGCACTTCACTTCTGTTAACATATCTTCCATTCCAGCTGCTGCCATGGGCTTTCCATCACATCCAGCAATCGGCTCATTCAAAGACTCTTCTCTGCTTCTGCTTCATTTTAACAATTTCCTGTGGACTAAGTGGACTGATTAAACATGCATAGAACCTCACTGTTGATTCCTAAGGTGCTGTAAGACTTTTGGGGTGCACTTCTCTATTTTGCAAGTTTGAGAGGTGTAGGACTTCTTTCTGTCTAACATTCATTGATTTGTGCTGTGATTGGTATTGCTTGACAGCTTAAGAGATAATGTGAGGTGCAACCCTATGTATATTTACATAGAAGTAAATCCTATACAGTGCAGATTATATCTATCTAAGGTATTGCATCCATGGTTTTTCTGTTAAGTCCCGGTCATTTCAATGGGTCTACTCCAAATAGGGCTAATAGCTACCCACTGAATTTAGTGGGACTTATTTTAATTTGATGAACATAGGACTGTGCTGTTATGTTCTTTTAGGGCGCAAACCTATAAAAGTCTAAAGAGCAAAGATTAGAATTTTCAGCACGTTTCAGTATTCTTTTCCTATCTAAACTTGCATAGGATGTTAATAGGCTTTTTGGACGCAATCCTATGCACTTTTGAGTAATGCTTAGGGTGGTGCGACATTTTTCTGTGTTAAAATGCATGAGATTACGTTCTTTTTCTTGTCTTTCTTTCTTTCTTTCAACTGTCTGCCTCTATGTTTAGCTTGTTATGAATTTGTCAAAAACGGGAATATTTCTTACTATACACGACAGAAAACAAACGCGTTTTAATTTTGAGAAACAAGAGATGAAGGGAAACAGATCCTTTTCTTTGGGCACAGTTCCGAATTCTGCTTTGCCCAGGAAATAGACGTGAAATTGTTTGGTCCATCTCGGATTCCGTAGCAAAGGTTTTTCTTCGTTCCCCATTCGTTGTTGCCTTGGTTACGCTTCCTGAAACATTGAGAGTCGCTGCACGGAAGTCTTGGGCTCTGAAGCACGTTGAGGCTTCGCGGTGAAGGGAAGCAGGACAGGTTCAAGCGCTTGTCGATACCGAGGGAAGGAACGGTGTTGAACTCCACTGAAGTGTGCGGCGTTTTGCATAGCAGGCATGGAGCTGGCGTCCGGTTCTTCTACGGTGATAGGTAGAACTACAATTCCCAGTGTGCATTGGGACGCGGCTACTAATATGCTAAGGGCGTTTTGGCCCAAATGCATCCAGGGACATGTAGTCTTCGTGTCCTACATAAGAACAGGGCAGTCACGGTTAATTGTAAACGAGATGTTGCCTTTTAGAAACTGATACAAATCTTTGCTTTCCCCTTTCTTGAAGTTTGCTGACAACGACTGAATTGCGAATAATACGAGCGCTTCCCTTCGATCCCTTTTTTCACCTACGCACTCTCCTTCAGATCTGGGTAGCGTAAGAAGTGAGTCTAATTGTAATCAGAATTAGTTGGCAGGGGCTCGTTTTAGTGTTTTTTTTTAAAGCAATCAGTACTTTATTTTGTATTTCTTTGCAAAATGTCATTTACAGTATTAGTGTTGTAGAAATAATAATAGTGGTTACTAATTGTAAATGCTAAACATGAAAACAGTTTTTCAGGAGACACTGAAGTTGCTTTTATCTGTAACTGGCCTCCCTGTTTGTGTGTGTGTGTGTGGGAGGGGGTGTTATATACACGTATCTTTTCCTGATGTCTGTGCTATGATCTTGCAAAATGAAATTTGGCCACAGATATGCATTAAGTGCCATTGTATAATTGGTTAATGAACAGTGAGGGGATGTTCTTGCCTGCAGCTGGACAGCTCCTTTCCCTAGCCTTGAATTCATGGATGGATATCAATGGCCATTAGTCCTGATGGGTATATGCTGCCTCCACTATCAGAGGTCTGTTGGGGAACCTGGGAAGGAGGATGTTTTTGTACTGATGACCTGTATGTGGATTTCCATGGGTTTCTGGTTGGTCACTGTGAATGCTGGTCTAGGTGGACCCTTGGTCTGATCCAGTGTGGTTTTTCTAACAGTCTTAATGTTCACCAGCCTGCCTCTTCCTCCATGCCATTGCCACCACTACATAGTATCTCCATTGTCTGAGGCATCACATGACTTTAATTTGGTGTGGTCTTCTTAATTAATGACATAAGTAAGAGAGAGATACAGAGTCTAGAAATGCATGCCTCCTTTTCCTTTTCCATGTTACAATGAAAGGGATGGAGGTCAAGTGTGATGATGCAGGAATTGAAGATGAAATAGAACTTGAACTGAGCAAAATCAGCTTTTCTTCCTCAGAAGCAGATGATTCTGATACTGAATTATCAATAAAAGCCTCAAGTGACAGCGAACTAGTAAGTATGACATCTGTCTAGGGAAAACAGTATTATATTTTTGTGTGACAAACCTAATATAAAGAGTTATAAAGATGGTTACCTTTACTAGGCTGCATGATAGTGAAAGTAGATATGCACAGGACAATGTACATAATATGAAGTTGAGGAGGAGTACTTGGTTGATCCTTGTTTCTCTTAGTAACTTTGACAAGAAAAATCCCCAAGAAAACCTTTTTAGAATGTTAAAATCATCTCCATGAAATGGTAAAATGTTTGAAATCAGCTCCATGGAAGCATAATCTAATGTTCTGTTTGAGAGCAGCATCTGATAATTGGATGGATATTAATTTTGGGCATGCTTGATATTCTTTGTCAATGGTTGTCTACTGGAACAGTCCTGTCTATATTAATTCTCCTGAAGAATGCAATCCTGTGCAAAACTATCCAGGAGTAAATTCCATTGCATTCAAAGACTGCCTGCTTCCATGTGTACAAGTCTGCAACTTAAAATTAGAGGAATGATACCTTCCTCTGAGTCCCACTGCTTACGGATATCCTTGAGTGGAGATTGGGAAACAGTATTTTCTATAATGGTATTCTTGTTGTAGAATGCACTTTTATTGTCTCTACTCCTGGAATCTACCTTTATGACTTTTTTGGTAGTAGGGAAAGCTATTTATGTTAGTAAGGGTTTCCACTCAGTATCTTAAGGTGTTTTATTGTTTTTGGAAAAGAGGGTATAATTTTAAAAAAATATCTGGGGTGAGCAACCCTTTTCATATGGAGGGCCATACTAGTAGCTAAGAATTTCTTTGCGGTCTATATTGGTGGGAGAAGAACGGGACTGGATAGGATCATTGTGGGAAGAGCCACATATTAGATCTTTCCCCCTCTATTTCAGACCTAAACACGCATTCCTTCCACCCAAAGACCTAGACAAAAATTCTTTGCATCAAGACTTAGACACATGTTTACACCTTACATATATTTTTTCTCCCTTCATCACACACACACTTCCCACTCCTCTATCTTAGCATATAGGGATTTAAAACTCTCCTTCCTATACGCTGAGATCACAGCATACCTTGTTGACACTGCCTAGCTGGGGTCAGCAGTGGAGGAACATAGCATGCAGGAATGACTGTATCTGCACAGTTTTTCTCATTTAAATTGTGTTCCTAAGCTGTTTTTTGTTTCCATTGGTATGCTATGGCATATTCCCTGTGGGCCATGCTTCCCAGTGCAATTGCACTTCCTCAGCTCAGCCAGGTAGCCGAGTATGGGCTTCATGGAGCACAAACTAGATTGAAAGAAGGAATTTTGCAGCCTATGGACCATGGATTGTCCATGTGTGAATATTTTAGTAAATATGCAAATATCAGGGTCGTATATCTGTACAGGTCATTATAGGAGTCCGAAACATAAGCCTTCTGCTTGAAGATTTTTTTAATTAAAAGTAAACTTTAAAAAATGAGAGTGCTGCATTGTATCTTTCATCAGCCTGCCTGGTATCAATTCCCATTTGGCTTCTCTAGTTCCTGAACTGTTTCTGTCCTACTGTTCCATTCTAGCTGGTAATGATAGACATCAAGTATGTAATAGCATCTGGGATTGTTACCTCAATTTTACCTTTTTTCCTTTGTCCTTACTACTTCCTTTTGTACCATGGCCCTTATATTATAAGCCATTATTTTCAGCTGCCATTTGCTTTGAGAATATTGGCAGAAAACCAGAATATCAGTATAGTAATAAAAATAAAAAATATTTTTATTTTTAGTAAAAAGAATGTCTCATATTGTCCAACACTTCAAACAGCATTTATGTAATCAAAGTGCAAAAAAATAAAATGTGACTCTTACTATTGAGACTGCAGCACTTGCCTTCTATTAGTTCTAGCTTATACCTGTAACTTAGGTGAAGTTAAATGTGAAAATAAGGCTCACAATTGAGAATATAGAAGTAAAATTAAATTGCATATCTAGATTTCAGATGAACTGCCAGAATCAGTCATCCATTATTTAAATTTTGTGAGAAGTAGAAGTCAAAATGCAGAAAGACTTATCTTGCAAGATTTGGAAAATGATGAAAAGTCAAGTAAGTGGTGATTTAATAAGATACCCTTTAATATGTGTTTGCCAAATGCAATCCCTAATCTCTTTTCAGATAGTACTAATCTCAAATAGCATTCACTCAATTATAGCAATATATGTTTGTGTGAGGTTTCTATTACCTTTTGCATTGCACTTCCTTTCCATCAGAATATTTTAAACTTGTTTGTAAAGCAGCATGTTATATGACAAGGGTTATAGATGGTGATCTCCGTGCAACTTCTGGTAAATTGTCTAATGCCCATAGGCTACAATGTGCCTTTCCTTTTTTCACTATCTTGCCTAAGTGAAAGGAGCGCTGGTGAGTATTTCAGGAGAATAATTTTCACTCTACTGGTCTTGGAAGAATGTTGGGAAGATCATAACTGGTTTTTGAATGGACATATTAATTGTGTTTAGTTGATCCTTTGTATTTGGGGGCTGAGCGGGGGGCTGGGCTGGCCGGGGGCTTTGGTGGTTGGCATTGGTTTCGTTTGTGGGCTAGCAGTGGTTTAAGTAGGATGTTTTTAGTAATTTTAATTGTCGTTTTTAGGTTGCTTTTAATTGGTGCATCTCGTGCTTTACTATGATGTTGCCTGGGGAGCGCATGGGCACCGCCATCTGGGTGGTGATGGGCAATGGACGTTATGGCATTGGGGGTCTAACTCCGCTTCCATTTCCTCCTCACATTGCTGTCCGGCGGAGCTCTTTTGGGTGGTACAAGGGCTGATACATCCAGGCCCAAAGAAAGATCATATACCACCCTCAAAGGCCCACTGTGATGACTTTGCCAGGCATTTCAGGGAGAAATAGGTCAGATTCGTCACGAGCTTGACTCTACTATTGAACCAGATTCTACTGGGGAGATGCCAACAACGCCGTCGAGTCCACAATTAATGGATGAATTTCAGTTGTTGCGGCCTCATGATGTGGACAAGTATGCCCTACCACCTGCTTACTAGACCCATGCCCATCCTGGCTACTTAAGAAAGCCAAGGACGGGATTGGCACCTGGATCCTGGAGGTGGCCAATGCCTCTTTAAGAGATGGTCAGGTACCTTCCTCTTTAAAAGAGGTGGTAGTCCGACCAGTCCTAAAGAAGGCATCCCTGGATCCAGAGGTGGCCGCCAATTATAGACCGGTGGCCAACATCCCGTTCCTGGGCAAGGTGCTAGAGTGGGTGGTGGTGGGACAACTCCAAGCATTCTTGGATGAAACTGATTATCTGGACCCATTTCAGTCTGGCTTCAGACCCAGGTACAGCACTGAATCTGCCTTGGTCGCCCTGTACGATGACCTGTGCAGGGAGAGAGACAGTTCTCCTGGACCTCTCAGCGGCTTTCGATACCATCAACCATGGTATCCTTCTGAATAGGTTAGTGGGATTGGGAGTTGGAGGCACCACGTGGCAGTGGTTCCGCTCCTATCTCAACGGCCGATTTCAGAAGGTGGTGTTGGGGGACTATGGCTCTGCGCCATGGCAGTTATGCCATGGAGTTCCACAGGGGTCCATTTTGTCCCCCTTGCTATTCAACATCTACATGAAACCTCTGGGAGAGGTCATCAGGAGGTGTGGGCTGTGGAATCATCAGTACACTGATGATACCCAGCTCTACCTCTCATTTTCCACCAATCCAGGTGAGGCAGTGACTGTGCTGAACTGGTGCCTGGCCGAGGTAATGGGCTGGATGAGGGCCAATAAACTGAAGCTCAATCCAGACAAGACGGAGGTCCTGTTGATGGGTGGTTCGGGCCTCGGGATGGGGGACTTGGGCCTTGTCCTAAATGGGGTTGCACTCCCTCTGAGTGACAGGGTTCACAGCTTAGGAGTGCTCCTCCACCCTGAGCTGTCTTTAGAAGCTCAGGTGACGGCGGTGGCGAGGAGCGCTTTCCTTCAGCTTTGGCTGATCCATCAGCTGTGTCCCTTCCTGGAGAACGACTACCTGGTGACAGTGACACACACGTTGGTAACTTCCGGATTAGATTTCTGCAATGCGCTCTGCGTGGGGCTACCCTTGAAGATGGTCCGGATACTTCAATTGGTGCAGAATAGAGCTGCCAGGCTGCTGATGGGGACTGGGCATTGTTCTCATATAACCCCAGTTCTCTGTCAGCTCCACTGGCTCCCAATTGAAGTCCGGGCCCAATTCAAGGTGTTGGTTATGACCTATAAAGCCCTCAACGGCTTGGGTCCTGGGTATTTAAAGGAACGCTTGCATCCATATATGCCCTCCCACCCTTTGAGATCAGCAACAGATGCCCTTCTCTGGCAACTCTCTTTGAATGATATTAGGAGGGTGAGTACCCAGAGGAGGGCCTTCTCTGTGGTGGTGCCCCACCTATGGAATGCGCTCCCCAGAGAGGTCCGCCTGGCGCCATCATTATTTGTTTCTCGACACCAGGCTAAGACCTTTTTATTTAAAACTTATTTTAAGTGTTAATTTATTGGCTATTTGTAGGATTTTAAAATTTTTAAGCCGAGATGCACCGGGTTTTAATATTTTTATTGTATAACTTTGTTTTTGTTGTAAGCTGCCCCGAGGCTTTGTTGCGATGGGGGCAGCATAAAAATGTTGTAAATAAATAAATAAATATTTCCTTCTGCAGTATTTTGTAGGTATCTGAAGGTGTTGACTAGTGTGCTGCTTTGCTATGTATTTTGGAGAAGGCTGAAGAAGCCATTAAATATTGGGAAAGTAGAGGGGAATGGTGACTGCAGGTGGACTGGCTGTTGCACAAGAAGGAGAAAGAACATGGTGGTGTTCTTCTTCCCAACTAGTTCATCGGCCAACCAAGGGCCTGGCCATCCCCTGGATTCAAAGATTGTACTTTTGATGCTAGAGCAGTCAAAAATAGAAACACAACATTGAGGAAACTGACCTAGCATGTAATTACAGACTCTTGGCTAGAAGAAGTGTTTGAAGTCAGTTTATTCCAGCAATGTTCACTGTATTTCTTTGTACAGCCCATCCAGGGATAGAGGCTAAATATTTTGTATGCTGTGAGAATTTCACTAGACAATTTGTAGAGAAAATTGCTCTCTCCACTCCAGCTTAGATTCTATGATTGTAGCCTTTCCTAACATCTGTTTGTTCAGTTGTGTTGGAAAGTTTTCCATTTGTACAGACTAAGAATGTGCACACGATTCTTGGTAGTGTGAGATCAACCCTTTATGTGTTTGCTCTTTTGCTCTTTGATCTCCCTGGCTCATTAAAGCAGCCAGCTGAGCCCTGATGTGATGTTGCAGAGTGATAGAAACCCCTGTTTGGGAAAAGATCTTTTGCAATTTATACTTAACATATCAAAAGTATTCATTTGTGATTTATAAATTGATACTTTTAACTATAGCTTTTTGTTTTATTTCAAAATAAAACAATGTTTCAAATATACAGCAACATGATCCAGAAACTGAGCCCACTTATAAATTCATGCTAGTCATCTGAATATTCCCCAGTACCTTATTGCACTGAAATTCGTGCTTTGAAGTTTTGAACACTATCTTTTTTCTGGTGTGTTAGTGTAATTTTTCTTTTTCATTTGTAGGTGATATCTACAGTGTTGTTCCTAACAATGCTTCACAATGTTTGGCTCAGTTGGCTTCTGAATATAATGAAGATCCAGAAGAATTAAAGAAGAGGGTATACACACACACACACACACACACTTTAAAAACCTCCATATATGTGATTTGGCTACAGCACAAGGTAGTTTGGTCAGCACTGGAAAGAGCAGCTGTTCTTTCATCATGGCTTTGCTGGGCACCATGTAGTAGATAGCTAGTTAGTCAGGTACCTGAACTAAGGTGCAATGCCTGAGGCAGTAGCACCAAAACTGGAACCAGCTGTCACCACTGAGACTAAGCTTTCTCTCTTGTTCCCAAGCACTCTTGGTTCCTTTGGAAAAACTGACCAAGAATCCCACTGAGCTTTATTGTGTTGAGCTAGGCTTGGGTTTTGCTCATGCATGCAACCTGGCAGTTAAAGCAGTGTTTTCTGAACTTGCCCCCACTTTCAGCCCCAAAACACCCAATCTAGAGTTTGATGAAAGGTGGATAAAGGATTTATTGGGAATTCTAGTACAAACTACAGGATAGGAAAAACTTTGGTTGGCCTTTAAGCACACAAAATAAGCAGTCAAAGTTTCAGCAAATAAGTCAAAAAAGATAAGACGGTTCAGCTCACACAGTCCTCTGCGAACTGTCTACCTGGATCCTTGAAGATCCACAAGTTTTCCTTGTGCCTGTTATCAGGTCTTTCCTGTGACACAGGAACTGAGGCAAAACAATACCTGGTTGCCTGTACCAGGGAAACCTTGGAGTAATCTGCCCTTTCCCTGCCCTTGTCCTCCTTGGCACCTGTTGGAAGTCAAAGACACCCAACTTCCTTTTCAAGTGGAATATGTCTCCTCCTGTCCCTCCCTCCTTGCCTGGGTGGAGATTCAAGAATTTGTCGGGGTTTTGCCTTCTGACTATCTAGCAAGGACTGACTGCCTAGGAGACATCTCATTATTTAGGCACTTGTACAGTTTATTATTCAAGAAGTTTGCTAAGTGGAGTCCCATGCATGTAGAAGTGCCCCCCACCCTGCAACAAAATGCTGTACTGTGTGCATGTTATTTTTCTCCCTATTCAGCTGCTGTGATTGCACAGAAAGACTTATTAGAAAATTAACACTGTCACTGACCAATAGCCTAAGAGAGGGAATGGGAAACTGAATCCAGTGTCCCTCTCCACCCAACAACTGATCAGTAAAACTGCTACTTTTCTAAAAAGACTCTTGCATACTGGGTGATGTATAGCTGTTCCAGAGATTCTCTTCCACAGCAAATAACATTTACTCATTGGCCTTATTTTTGGTTATGTAAGCCCTGCCCATAAGCCATTGCATGCATGGATCAAAGCTTCTGTGCTCACGTTCTAT